GTCGGTACAACCATAACGAATGCCTTTTCAGTCTTTATTTTTTATAGTGGGGGGTGCACGTGGCTTCGACTGTACGTTAACTGCGTTGGGGCGCGTTCATTACCGCCCCTTTTTGGTCCTCTAAACAAATACTAGTCTACATATTTAGTACAATGAACCGTGTAGAATCTTTTCTAAGTTTTTTTTTTGAATGGTATTCGACTGCTATAGGGATTATAAATCAACCCCCGTTAATGGGGCTACAACCGGATAAAGGGTTTGGCTAATAAATCGTGAATTTTAAATAGGATGTTGTATTTGAATGATTACGATATGGTTATAGTTGGTACTTTTTTTCTAAAATTAAATTATTAATAAGTTTATAAACCGTATTGAAATGTTTCTGTAGAAATCAATATGAACAAAAAAATTTTGACATTGGTTCCTGAGCAATTATTATGTTGTTTCAGTTATGTCGTAAGGTCACAGCTTATGCAGTTTATATTAGCAGTTTATGTTGGGTTTGGTCACCCAAAGATTAAGAACATACTCTACGAACGATATTTATCCGTACAAAGCAGCACAGCTTAGTATACCAAAACATGGCATTAAATAGTATTTGCTTCATGAACCTGAACATTTGGGATTTCAAAATTTTAGTGTTTTGTCTGTTTTGGGTGTTTTATGTTTACAAAACTGGACGTAATAATTGATCTGAAAACATATGGAGGAGAGATGCAAGGAATTTGGAGTGAGTAGAAAAAATTGGAATTAGGTTTGAATCTCTTTGAGGTTAGGTAAAGGTTCAACTCAAAAAAACTGACAATATAGATAAAAGAAAAAATAAAACAATTTTAAATGAATTCTATGAATATACAGAAGAAATTAGGCGACATGTTAATAAAGTAGATGAAACGGAGGGATTGAAGAAAAATTATCAAATGGTAAAAGAGAAAAAGAAGAGAATCTACGCATTGGTGAAGACTGCGAATATACAGAAATGTGAAAAAGTAAGGGAAGAATGAGTGGTCTAATTATTGCTGGTTTCAAGAATCCTACTCTTCCTTTAGGAAACAGAAAACTGAATAAAACGTGTAATTGAATCCATGGCTCAAAAGATAAAAGATGAATATCAAGAATTTAGTACATACTTTAATACCAGGATTGGTGAAGAAGGAGTTAGAGGGCTTCCGGAAAAATTGCAAGAGATGCGAATAGTAGAAAGATAAAGTGCAGACTACAGAAGGATAAAAATTATTGCACTGGATAAGAGAGGAGATATTCCACGGAAATATAGAAGACAGTTGAACATTGGTTTATGAACTGAAACGAGGTGCTAGAATAAAAAACACTGAAATATACTTATTTAGACGTTAGCATATCGTCTCCATCTGGAGAAACAACTGAATATCTACCGAGACCAAAATATGGATATACAAAGCTGCGTCAAGCCAATATGACAAAAATGACCTGCATCCAAAACCAAATCATCAGAAGAAATGTAAGCAGAATTGAATGCCTAGAACAAGCCTCTCTGGCTTCAACAAAGAAGAAGAAAGTATATATATATATATATATGGATTAGCTCGCTGGTTCGAATAATAATATCTTGTAAGGAAAAACTAGAGAATTTGCTTTGAGAAGTAAATTGAGGACAAGAACGACTTGATAGAAATGATCAAAGAATCCATACGAAAGTAGGAATAGAAGCAGCTACGAAAGAATGCAGGTGCACTAATATAAAGAACACAGAGAGACTACAGAAAGATATGTACGTGTAAGAATCGTTAGAATAGAGAGTTAGGGAGGATAGGCAAAAAGCCAAGATTAGATGGTCTTGTCAAAATATATAAAATAGATACGGAACAAAAGAGAATATTACAAGTGAAAATCAACAACAGACTGAAAGGAATAATTTATCTAATAATTTAAGGCGAATTTAAAGAAATTAGGAAAAGTAACAATGGGGGAAGTAGAGGCAGAAGTATGACTCCTAAGCTTTGGCAGATCTAAACTCCTTAATTTCCATTAGTCATTGAAACTTTAACATTGAAAAATAAGTAAAGATGGAAGGATTTGTTTATCACAAAAATTAAACCATAAAGTAATAAAGCATGGGTTTTATAGTCTAGATGATTTATATTGTCGGAAAAACAAAATCAAACTGTATTTCAAGTCATTTAGGAGCTGAAAGTGAGGATTTAGACATAATTTTGTTAAATTCCAAGTACGTGTGGATCCGTAACATTTCCCCAAGCACAAAGAGAATTTATAAGACCTTAATAATACGGAAGCAAATATCAAGGTTCCGAAGCATGGATCTTAACAAAAAAAAAGATGAATCTATGGTGGATCCGTGAACGGGGAGTATGGAGAAATATTTACAACTTTGAACTATACAATGTTTATGGATCAGCTGGTAACAGTGATATAGTGACAACTAGTGATGGAACGGATAGTGATTTTGCAAAAAGCCGGACACCGAATATTCAGCATCCCCTTTGGCCGGATGTCCGGCATATCTATCCGGGCATTATATTGCCGCATTATTGCGATATTTGAATAAAAATTAAATTAATAAGAAAACTGATAAGATGTCAACTTATTTTAACTCTAAAAAGAGGATATTTTAATTAATAATTGGTGATATTTTCACAAGGATCCTTCAAGATATTAATTTTATAGCGAATTTTGAAAATTATCGATGAAAATTGCAACATCGTAAATTTTATCAAAACTTCAAATATTGTTTTCTCATAAACTAAAAGTTATTTTTCAAAACGGGTTGGTTCATTGGAAAGAGGACACTTCTATTATCATTTTGGCAAATTTTCATATTCATATTCCAAGAAATCGATTTTATGCGAATTTTTAAACCTTAATCGGCGAAAATTGCAAAATTTGCAAAAATTATCGATTATTTCAAAAATTTATTTCCCAAGAACTGAAAGTGATNGAGGATATTTTAATTAATAATTGGTAATATTTCCACAAGGATCCTTCAAGATATTAATTTTATAGCGAATTTTGAAAATTATCGATGGAAATTGGAACATCGAAAATTTTATCAAAACTTCAAATATTGTTTTCTCAAAAACCAAAAGTTATTTTTCAAAACAGGTTGGTTCATTGGAAAGAAGACACTTTTGTTAACACTTTGGCAAATTTTCATACTCATATTCCAAGAACTAGATTTTATACGAATTTTTAAAATTTAATTGGCAAAAATTAGAAAATTCGAAAAAATTGTCGTTCGTTTCAAAAATTTATTTCTCAAAAACTAAAAGCGATTTTTCAAAACGGTTTGTTGCCGAATATCCGTTCCACCACTAGTAGAAATCAATATGAACAAAAAAATTCTGACATTGGTTTCTGAGCAATACATGGAGCTCCATAACTAAACTATTGACACATTATTATGTTGTTCCAGTTATGTCGTAAGGTCACAGCTTATGCAGAAGTCATGTAAGCAAGACGGATATTTACGACAGAACCTATAGGTATTAGAAGTAGAAGAAGACGTAAGCAATGGATAGAAAGGATTGGAGATGGAAGCTTGAGAAAGTCAAAGCTCTACAATATGGTTAATGATGATGATGAATTTTACTTAATTAACGAATTCGATTGCAAGTTGTTTTAGAATAAAAATCGGATTATCAATACTTTAGTTTTGCACTATCAATCAAATACGCATAGACAGCCAGTATCTCACACAACTTTTAGAGCAGGGTTTGAGTCTCCGATCTCAGCACTTCAATGAAATAAATATTCTTTTGGCCAACTCTTCTTGAGTTTATTACAAGACATAGCAAAAATATTACAGTACTTCAAAAATTGTCTTCAAACGACTAATAATTGTATTCTAATTATTGAATTCAAGATTGAGTAGCATCTTTTAAATCTGTCTTATTCCTATGCATAGTACCTACATGTTAGTATTCATTTTAATGATTTTGGAACGAAATCTATAACCACTCAGGCAGCGTTATGTTAATACTCCACTAGTCGAGTTCTCAAGTTAATCCCATAATAGAGAAATTTTAAAGCAAATTTTGATGTGGAACATTTTTGCCTTTGTAAAATGTGGCACGGAAAGGTGGCAGAAGACGTAGAAGATTTAATACTGCTGACAAAGGACTAGATATAACTAATGAAAGATTATAGGCTGTTAATAGAAGGTCAATTACTGCTTGCAGAAGACCAGACCTTCTTTATAGAAGAACAGATACTATTTATAGACACCTACGTACTGCTAACAGAAAATGAGAAGATGCAGAAAATTACTTCTTAATACTTCACTAGTCTAATTTTACAGCAAATTTTGATGTGGAAAATTTTTGCCTTTGTGAAATGTAGTACGGAAAGGTGTTGATTACAGTTATATGTACAATTAATAGTTTTGTTCAAATTGTTAAACCCATTGCTTCTCCAAATAATATCTTGATGTTGCACAACTTCATGAGGAAATTAACTAAGTCAAACAGAAAAAAAGTTAACTGCACGTCAAAGTTGTTCTGATTTTTATGTCTAGATGATTATTACATCATCAAATACAGCACTCATTAAATAATGAAAGATAAAAGCAGTTGTATCTTTTAAAATAAAACCTCTTTAATAATTTTATATTAAAAAGGACAACAGAAAACCTTAATAATCCAATTAATCTAATTTCTTATCCATACGTTAAAACACTTTCTAAAAAATTTCCAAAACATTACACTTTCGAATCATGACAAATTTCAACCCATTCACGTCGATTTTTTATTTATTACACCCTTATCGATTAAATCGAACAAATCAAACCGTTTTATTACGAAAAACGACCCAACCCTTTTTAGTCGTTTCACACTCAATAAATAAAATTACAAACGCGATGTAAAAAATTGCTTTTTTTTTTCTATTGTTAAAATTTTCGCCGATTTCTGTAGTTGGTTGCGTTTCATTCGGTTTCGCAATAGATGCCGTTGGAAGTCGCGGAGACGAAACCAATCGATTTCATCAACCCTTTCCAACGTTAGCTTTTGGGGTTGGTTGATATTTTTTCAGGGCAAAAGAAAATAATAACAGTGTCACGTGAGGTGAAGTGAAAATAAGATAAATTAAATAAATAATAATGGGGTTTGAAAATTTAACCACAAACGAAATTAAAAGTAGTAAGTTTAAGTAATTTTTGTGTTAATTTTAACTAATAATTTATTTTTAATTTTTATTTAAATAAGACTCTTGGTGGCCATGGTGTGATATATGGAGAGAACCTCAACACTTTCTTTATCAATTTGCAAACGTTTGTTTTGCTTTAGCTTATGCTTCAACTTCTACAAAAAAAGGAGTTTTATTTATGCATTGTTGGTTAATTATTGGTAAGAACTTTTTTTATTATTTAAATTTCGTTAATTATTTCTCTTTAGGTTTGATGCTTTTTTCTACTTGGGCTTGGAATGTTATTTGTGCCCCAGATGTTTTTACATGGAATTTCGCTTTTATGTTAATAAATTTAGCACAAGTTTTCCATATTTTATACCAATTAAGACCTGTTAAATTCGATCCTGAATTAGAAGAGGTTTATCATAGTTTATTTGAACCGTTTAAAGTAATTTTTAATTTATCATTAAAAGCTACAATTTGATGAAGTGGAGATAAAAACAACACAGTAATAAACTTTTCGTTGTATATTTCCATCTAATTTTACAAAAGGATCTACTTTTGTAATAATTCAAAATTGAGTTAAATCTAATTTTGTTATATTATGCAATCAGTAGTTTTAAATTTAGTGCTAATATATGAACATTTTTACTTGTACTTACGTCCCTAACTTCCCCCATAAACGAAAATGGAAAAATTATGATGTTTAAAATTTTTATGAGGTAAAAATGCTAAATGTTCTGCCTGTATTATTCTCCCCTAGGTAGATCTGAATATTCAAATTTGATTGTCGGAAAAGTCAGTCGTTAAGAATACCATTTAATGTGTGAGAAAATATGTTTGTTCTTTGAAAAATTTTTCTTAAAGAATCACTCTAAAAACTAAATACTTTATAAAGAAAATTTTAATAAAATACAATGATTTACCGAAGATAACTTATTGTTAGAAACATTTGTAGCAAGTAGTAATAAGCTCTATTGCAAAAGTCCAGGCAGAAAAAAATGCGTTAAAATTGTTATAACTAGATATTGCTAATAGAACTGGTAGCAGAAGAGTAAATAGTGATTGCAGAAGACTCGATACTGGTAATTGACACCTACGTAATGCTGACAGAAAATGAAAAAATGCAGAAGATTACTTTCTCGTTGTAGAAAATTAAACGTTTTTGGCAGAAGACATAGAAGGTTTAATACTGCTGAAAATAGAAGAGAAGACTGTTAATAGAAAGTTAAATATTGCTTGCAGAAGATTATATTCTTATTGCAGAACACTACAATATTTTTGCAGAAGACTAGATCTTCTTTATAGAAGAACAGGTACTATTTATAGACACTTACGTACTGCTAACAGAAAATGAAAAGATGTAGAAGATTACTTTCTTGTTGCAGAAGATTAAATATTGCTGGCGGACGACTAGATACTGGATGTAGAAGATTTAATACTAGATGCTACTAATGGAAGGTTAATAGAAGGTCAAATACTGATGACAGCAGATTACATTCTTATTACAGAAGACTAGAATAGATACTGTTAATAAGAATTACATACTGCTTGTCGAAGACTTTATACTGCTTTATACTATGACTATCTACATGGAAAAATACTTCTGACTGCCGACTGCACTGTATGGAAAAATTTGTACTTCTCTTAATATTCGTACCATATCTACAAGAAGAGTTGTGCGCTCTCTAAATTCTAGAGACCATAATTTTATAATCATAAAATAAAGTGATCTTGTGATAAACGAATTTTCCTTTAAAATGGTTAATTGGTTATGACCCATTTTTACCATCCTCTTGATAAACTATCTGGACGATAGTTGCCATGGTTACGGCGGTTTTAAACGCTCTCATTGGATAAGAGCTAAATGTATCTATCGGATAAATTAATCAAGAGAATTTAGAAAAAGTTCTCATTAATTTCACATGGTAATAGTCTAAATTGAATGTTGCTAAAAAAGTTAATTGAACCAAAGGTTCTGTTTTATACTAAAATTATGCTAAATTAGTTGGAGGCATTCTTTTAAAAATAAAAACATCTTTTGAACAAGTATACTAAATACTCTGGATGATGTAGATACTGAATACACTATTAACTGCTGTTTTCAATGTTCTATGGATGTAATCACAAGTTAATGAAGTTTCAATAGTGATTATATCCAGAAACTGGTGATTAATTCTAGTATCTAGTAAATGATTCCACCACCTAGTTGTTGGGTGCAGCATTTACAGTGATGGTTCCAATATTCAAAAATTAGATACAGTATATAGTATTGAGAAGTATGGGGATACATCTAGTTTTCAGACGTTGCAGTACATATAGTAATTAGTTCCAGTGCTTATTGATTGAATCCAGTAGGTAATCACAGCATTTTTTGGATGATACCAATGTCCCGTGGATGATTGCATTATTCATAGTAACCACATTGTGTTTGTTGTGGTTAATTCCAGTATTTAACGGATGATCCAGTGTATAGGTACACTGTTTAGTGGATGATTCCAATATCAATAGTTAGATCAGTAATATAGTTTTCATGGTGATTAGAATAAGAATCTTGGTTGCAATATCATTTGGATGATTCCAGACACCTGTGGATGGTTACAGTGTCCAATAGTTACAGTATCCAATAGATAATTCAAGCATTCACTGTATTCAGTAACTAATTCACATCTATGAATGGATGGTTTCAATGTTGCGTGGATGATTTAACAATGTACATATTGAATGTAGTATCCATGGTGGTTAGTTTTAGTGCTCAAAGCATAGAGAGAGTACACACATAGTAATTAGATCCAGTATTCATGAGTTGATTGACATATGACTTATTATAACTAGATATTGCTAATAGAAGATTACTGGTAGCAGAAGAGTAAATAGTGATTACAGAAGACAAAGTGCTAGTTGCAGAAGACTCGATACTGCTAATTGATATCTACGTAATGCTGACAGAAAATGAGAAAATGCAGAAGATTACTTTCTCGTTGCAGAAGATTAAATGTTGTTGGTAGAAGACTAAGTAGATACTGAACGTAGAAGATTAAATACGATTATAGACTGTTAATAGAAAGTCAAATACTGCTAGCAAAAAATTATATTCTTATTGCAGAAGACTATAATATTTTTGCAGAATACCAGAGCTTCTTTATAGAAAAACAGATACTATTAATAGACACCTACGTATTGCTAACAGAAAATAAGGAGACGGAGAAGATTACTTTCTCGTTGCAGAAGATTAAATATTACTGGCAGACGGCTAGATACTGAATGTAGAACATTAAATACTGTTAAAAAAATTCTCCATTAGTAGTATTAATGGAAGATTATAGACTGTTAATAGAAGGTCAAATACTGCTTACAGAAAATTACATTCTTATTACAGAAGACTAAAATATTTTTGCAGAAAATCTTCGTAATAGAAGAATAGATACTGTTAATAGAGAATCGCGTACTGTTTGAAGAAGACTTTATGCTGTTTGCAGAAAACTACTATTACTAAAATTACTGTTACAAACTACTATGACTATCTACATGGAAAAATACTTTTGGCAGACGACTACACTGTATGACAACATTTTTACTTCTCTTAATATTCGTACCATGTCTACAAGAAGAGTTGTGCGCTCTCTAAATTCTAGAGACCATAATTTTATAATCATAAAATATAGTGCTCTTGTGATAAACGAATTTTCATTAAAATGGTTAATTGGCTATGGCCCACTTTTACCATCCTCTTGATAAATTATCTAGAGGATAGTTGCCATGGTTACGGTGGTTTTAAACGCTCTCATTGGCTAAGAGCTGGATTTATCTATCGGATAAATTTATCAAGAGAGCCTATATGAGATAAAATGACACATTGTCAATTAGATAGTCGGAAGATTAGGGCGTACGACAAGTTTTAATAGAATGCTACATTAAATATGGGATAAAGACAACAGTCCCTTTAAAAGAATTTTGTTTGAAAAGTCAATTGAAGCAAAGGTTCTGTTTTATGCTAAAATTATGTTAAATTACTAGGAGGTATTCTTCTAAAAATGAAAACATCTTTTGAACAAGTATACTAAATACTCTGGATGATGTAAATACTGAATACACTCTTAAGTACAGTTTTTAATATTCTATCGATGTAACCACAAGTTAATACAGTTTCAATCGTAATTATAACCAAAAACTGGTGATTCATTCTAGTATCTAGTGAATGATTCCACCACCTAGTTGTTGGGTGTATCTACAGTGATACTACAGTATATAGTATTGAGAAGTATAAGGATACATCTAGTTTTCAGAAGTTGCAGTATATATAATAATTAGTTCCAGTGCTTCGTGGTTGAATCCAGTATCTAGTAGATAATCACAGCATTTTGTGGATGATCCCAATGTCTCGTGGATGGTTGCATTATTCATAGTAAACACGTTGTGTTTGTAGTGGTTGATCCCAGTATCCAGTGGATACACTGTTTACTGGATGATTCCTCCAATATTAGTACTAAGTCAGTAATACAGTTTTCATGGTGATTAGAATAAGAATCTTGGTTACAATATCATTTGGATGATTTCAGTATTCTATGGATGGTTACAGCGTCCAATGAATGGTTTTAGTATTCAAGAGATAACTCAAGTATTCAGTTGATAATTCATATCTAGGCGATATGTAAATCTATTATAGCTAGTTTTAGTGCTCAAAAGATAGATAGAGTAGAAACGCAGTAATTAGAAACAATATTCAAGAGATTGATTTCAGTAGTTAGTAGATAATTCCAGCATTCTGTGGATATTTCTAGAATGCAGTATTAATAGTGGTTGATCCCAGTGTTTAGTTGATGATTTCAGTATCTAGCAATAAATTCCATTATTCAGTTTTGGGTGCAGTATGCATAGTTATTGAGTCTACTTACAAAATTTAGATACAATTATTAATTAAATCTAGTGTACAGAAGATAAGTATAGCTTCTGACGAATGATTTCTGTATCGAGTTAGTAGGTGAAGTATCCATAGTGGTTAGTTCCAGTATCAAAAAGTAAGATACAGTGATTGAGACCAATATCTAGCAAATAATTCTCGGATTGTGAAGATGATTCCAATATCACTGTGGTTGATTCCAATACCCAGGTTTAGTCCAAAAGGTTTTACATCCAGTGTTATAGTCAATAGGTTTAAATCAACATGCATTTGAGTGACTTTTAAATAAAGATTTATTAACGAAGACGCTTTAATGAACAGAAAATAGTCACTTGCACAACATTTCCAAACTTTTTAGCAAAAAACTGTGAAAATGATGATTGTTATTCGCATAACGGTTGATATTTTGGCATATTTCCAAATCAGATTTTTAGCACAACCAGAAGAGTAACATATCATTCGGCGTAATGAAGCAGAGAATTTGATGAAGCAGATAAATTTTATGAAAAAGTAAAATGCCAAGTATTTGATTCTGCCTAACTAACTACACAAAAACCAAATTACATTCCAAAATAAGTTATTTCATTTGTATAAGCAATTGTTGCTTCATGCTGTGTAATAATTTATCATTATTTAATAATTTATCATAATTATAATAATTTTCAAAATTTTAACATTTTATAACTCATCATTTGAAGATGGTTTTACGCCGAAATCGGTTAAAGACATAATTTTATATAATGTGAGAAATGCATAATAAAATAAGTTTATTACTGGGTTTATTACTATCTTCACTCAAACTTAAAAGTGTTTATTACAAATTTTTTCAGTTATCTCGTTTACAATTTAAACGTATGGTAAGTCCAGAATTTGCCCAAATCATGTCATTACATGCAGGCGAAGCTTACGCCGTTCAAAATCTAACAAGAACCGACAGATTAGGATTATTACTCTCAGGAAAAGTGAACGTTCTCTCCGATAATCAATTCCTCCATCCGATTCTTCCATGTGAATTCTTAGATTCCCCCGAATTCGAGTCAAGTAGAAACACGGTTGACGATAAATTTAAAGTATCTATTGCAGCTGCAAGTACTTGTAGATATCTTTTTTGGCAAAGATCGGCGTTGGAATATTTATTCGTCAAAGAAACTTATATAGCAACGGTTTTAACAACGCTAATTGCTAGGGATATAACAACGAAATTATATACCATGAATAATAAAATTGTGACAGCTAAAGGATCACATTTGGATATTAGACTACCAAGTATTACGTCGTCTTTAACGTCGTCTGCTGAGTATAAATCTCCTATAAGGATGAAAAAACCTAATGGTAAGAATGACACAATAAAATATTGACTATTTTCTACTATTAGTAGTATGACTATTATTATTAGATCGTTGGGAATAAAAACTTGTCTAGACGAGTGGAATGCAATAAACCGGGAAACATCGCGTGCATGCGTTCAATTATATGTCTCTTTACTCGGTTTAGTACTATTAATTAATTCATACCACATAAAGGGTTAACTTTTAATTGATTTATCAATTTTGATGTAAATTAATTAAAAATTCTTAAAATTGTTTTATCTAATAACATTTAAATCACAATTTATTCTTTTTTTAGGAATGTGTCCAATGTCACCAGATTCATTTTTGAGTGACACAAGCAGAGAGAAATGTTACAAATACAAAGAGAACGGTAACTGTTATTTGAGTGAAATGACTCCGTTAACAGAGCTGCCATCGACAGACGATTTGGCATCGAATGACGTCGAAAGTTGGTTGGAAACAAGTTCGAAATATCATAGTTGTGAAATTGTAGATACAGATTAATAAAAAAATTTAAAAAAAAGAAAGCGATTCTTTCTTAGTTAAGTTTTAAATATTTTTGATTAATGAACTCGACCTATATTTTAAATTTAAAAAACAAAACTTCGTTAAAATAAAAACTTTTTATCTTAATTCCGAGAAGTTTTTAACAATCAATCATTTTTTTTCTGAAACGAAATGAAGTTAAAGAGATAAAATTTATTAAAAATCTTTGAATTTTATAAAATTAATCAAAATCGATGAATAGTTCACGGCTCCGCCACCATTTTTTTACGGGGGCGCAATCTTCTACATAGAGTTCACCGTTGTGACGTAGATCGCGTACGGGTGTGACGCCGTGCGGAGGAGCAGCGTCGCGACGCCCTCGTTAAGTTATTAACAGAAGCGGGACGAAGAAGAAGTATTAAAGTAAGAAAAAGAAAGAAAGTTTTCCGGAAAAAACAACGTCGCGACCGATGATAAAAACGTACGATCCAAGCGGCTGTGCTTCCAGTGGGGTCGCGATTTCCAATGAAGAAACGTGTCATCAACTCCTGCCAAGCCCTTCAATGCCTTTTCGATCGCGTGCACAAAAATCGTGACTGAAAAAGGTACGATTTATTTGTATTATATATATCTAACTTATTCGTATTACTTATATCATTTATTTATTCATATTACATATTTGTTGGAAGATTTTATGGAATGTTTTGATTTTGTAGGGAATAAATTTATGCTTTTTTGAGTTGAAATTACAATATTGAATTATCAGTTTGATGGTGAGTTGCTTGTCTTTTATGTAGCTGCACCCCAATTGACATAAGGATGGTTTCAAAAATTAATTTTAGATTGAAAAAAAGAAGTTGTTTTTTCTGTCAACAATTCCTAAGGGGAACGTTTCATTACGTTTTGTAATCGATATATTTTATTTTGTAAATTCGGTGTATAATTTTTAATTATAGGCGAGTTGTTTAATCTAATTCAATATGGATTATATTATTGAAAATCCTTAACATTTATAAATACTTTATTACAAATTTTCTCCAAAAATCGTTTCTTACTTTTCAGAAATAAGTGTTTTAATCAATCTCCTATATCCATATGTGTCTAATTTATTCTAATACTCACACTTACTTGTTAGTGGACAAAGTTCCGTTATGGATCGTCGCAAGTTTCAAACAAATCTATCCCGATCCACCCGGATCATACCTGTTGTTCCAGTTTCTTAAATTTGCTAGAATCCACAATTTTTTCATTTTTCTTAGATGAGATTTCTCAAAATATGGCGAAATAAACATATGAGAATTGAAGCCAAAGCCCGAATATACAAGACCGCTATTAGACCTATATTAACATATGCAGCAGAGACTCGACTAAAAACATCCATAACAAGAAGAATGCTAGAAACCATAGAAAATAATACGTAGAGTAGTTGTGAAAATATTGATGGACAGAGAAAGAAGTGAGTATATTAGACAGACTTGCAGGATAGATAACATTAATGATTGGGTATTGGACAGAAAGATGAAATGGAATGAACACATCGACCGAATGACAAGAACAGATTGTGAAAATAACACAGGACACATCAATATTAGGATGAAGAAGCATTGGAAGACCTAGAAAAAGATGGAGCGACAACTTTCCAAACGGTTAGTGGGCAAAAAAGTGAAGAAGAACCGGTAGTTATGTCTAAATACAGAAAAAAGAAGAAGAAGGGATTTCTCTTCGCCTTTTTCCCTGCATCAACTTTTTGCTTACCATCCTTGAATCATTCCAGAAATTATTACAATCTTCTCTTCTTCTAGCATTGGTGGAATAGCTTGATCTTATTATTATTGCTGCCAGGCTGACGGGGGCGTAGAAAAAGTAAGGTTTTGCAGAAATCTAGGTCCTTGATGAACCTTAGTATTGCATTCACAGAGAACATGTTCAGCAATCTCTGACTTGTTATGCATTTTAGGGGCATATGGCCGGTTAGAAAATCTGAAAGCGTCCCCTTTGCTGAGGCATAAAACCTGTTTGGTTTTCTTTTGCCACAGAGTTATCATACTATTCGCCTATCTGTATCCTGGAGGTTCTTTCCACAGCAAGGCTGCTTTTTGAGTCCCCCCACCAGTTTGATCTTAATATGTTCATGTCGTTTTTGGAACACTCTTTGTTTCAGTTTTAGTCCCATGGAATAAATTTCTTAAATCGTTACACCATCTCTTCTTCCTTATTACATAGTCATCTAACTACATATTTGCAAATTAATAGTGAAAGAATGATTTTATGTTAAAATAAAAGATTTTGATTTCATTTCTTGTCTTCAGTGGTTTATTATTTTCTTGAGTACATAAAACATATAACGAAAAGATATTGTAACCGTACAAAAATTCGAACTCGAGTTATTAATAGACAAAACATTATCGAAGTGGTCTGCAAAACTTATTCCCCCCAATTTCTTCTATTACCCCGTTTCATGATGATACCAACCATGAACCCAAACATGGTATACAATTTAATAACTGAAACTTACACTTTTGGCTCCTTTAAAACATCTTCTTACAACCCAATTACTTCCAAGTATAGAGCAGCTTTATTGCTCTTAAAAACATCTCCTGCTACAATGGTGTATATTAGATAGTGATTTTGCGAAAAGTCGTATATGGCCCGATATCCGGTTATCCGACATATCTATCCGGCCATATTTCTGGTGCATTTCTGAAATGATACCCTACATTGCCACATTATTGCGATATTTGAATAAAAATGAAATTAATAAGAAAGCTGATAAGATATGTCAACTTATTTGGATCCAAGATGCAAAATGAACTCTAAAAAGAGGCTACTTTAATTAATAATTGGTGATATTTCCACACGGATCGTTCAAGAAATGAATTTTATAGCGAATTTTGAAAATTATCGATGGAAATTGCAACATCGAAAATTTTATCAAAACTTCAAATATCGTTTTCTCAAAAACTAAAAGTTATTTTTCAAAACGGGTTAGTTCATTGAAAAGAGGACACTTCTAATAATACTTTGGGAAATTTTCATACTCATATTCCAAGAAATCGATTTTATACGAATTTTTAAAACTTAATCGGCGAAAATTGGAAATTTCGAAAAATTGGCGATTATTTCAAAAATTTATTTCTCAAGAACTAAAAGTGATTTTTAAAAACGGCTTTTTGCATTAAAAAGAAGATACTTTAATTAATAATCGAACGTGCGAAGACAAGAAAACTAGACGATACTGCAACAAGAGATTTTATATATCGTATTGGGATTGTTACAATGAGGTTGCTAATGACAAATCTGATATAAATAAAGTTGTATTTATTGGGGTTGATCTTGATTATTATCTGCAATACCGAATAGTTGTCGGATATCCGTTCCACCATTAGTGTATATATTTGAAGTCAGTAAATCTTTAAATTCAGCAAGAAAACATTCGACTAGGTTTCTATCAGTACCCTTATTACCGCCATTTACTGAGATAAGGTATGGAAAGGGTAAGCATTTTTCGCTAATATCTTCTGCAATGCTTCTCAAGAAACTCATTCCTTCTAAGAGTAGTTCACAAACAAGTTTACCAGCGCCGAAACAAGCAACGAAATTAATTACTAATAAAGCACTTAAACAGCACTTTTATTGTTTTATGTTTGAGTAGGGTAAAAGAAACATTTAGCTGCACTTTTTATTATTATATTTGCCTTTGGCCACTGTACAGCATCAATTATTAATAGATCGAGTTCCAGTGCTAACTTCTATGGAAAAAATTTCTTATTTATGTCAGATCTCAAGCATAACTACTTTTGGACTCATGTATCCATAGAACTGTTCGAGATTGTTGATCGAGTTATTTTTAGAGTGCTAGAATTTTCTTCTTCACCATCGCTCTATTATTTCGGCTATGATCAAGCTACTTAGTTTACTTGTTTTAGGCTGAACTATTCTTTTTGGCGTTTCGAATTCTTCCAATATCAAAGAATGGGTGCTGTGGACAGCTTTTATATGAAGTTACAGAGTTTCCATCATGTCTACAAGATGTTTGTTTACTCATTCTACAGCAGTATTTTAATCCATTGTTTCGTTGACAAGAAAATTTGCGAGATTGCAAGAACGTGTAATGAGATGTCTACGATTTGTTAAATGAGTTTTAGTAAGAATTCTGTGGTAGGGTGATATCATTTCAAAAGAACCATAGTATGTCGAGAGTCGTAAGAAGCACAAGGTTTTTATAATTTCTAAATTGTGTGGGTGAAATTTTGCATGATATGGAATTGCTTTTCTTGTTTGTAACGTTAAGCTCCAAGCATTTCTTATACTAATAATAAAGTCTACCTGTGGTCTATATAGATACTAAGTTCTGGCAAATACCAAGAATTTATTACACAAGATTCATTCAGCATTTATTGCGACACTGATGCTGAACCTTTAAATCAGTATCTTTCAAAAAATCAAGTCTTAGAAATAAATTGATATTTTCTAATAGAATAAAAAGCGTAGAGATGGACTCTGATAATTATACCTTTATCACTATACCTAACATTGAATCAAAAACTTCATAGCTTCTTGTTACAAGTTGACGTGAGTTATACGAGATGCCTCGTCCTCACTCTGATGATGCTTATTATCTTTGAAAAAACAAAAAAGAAAATCATATCACAGTAATCACAAGTTTCATCCAGTTATATATTTGAATACATATGTCTTATTTAGAACATCAATGGTACATCTAAAGTCAATCGGAACTAATCCAATAAATGTAGCTATACAATAACGGCCATGATTTATGCAAAAAGTTTTGTAACTTGAAAAGCTTCTGCAGTTTTGCTACTAAATCAGCTTTTGGAAGTTAGCAGAAAGTTTAGGAATATCTAGATTGGCTTTGCTCGGCATGGAGATGAATCATACAAAGTACGCTTTTCAGAAGAGTCATGTACTTGCTTTAGTGGAACAGACGAATATTAATGAGTATGAAGACGATTCTGAGAAAGATATTTTCCAGATTGTATAGATGAGAGACAGAGTTAGCTTTCACATAGAATGGCTGTTTGATAGCACACAAGTCCATAACAGAGCTTTTGGATTGCAATTTTCATGCATGATGATATAGAGATATAGAGACTAAGGAAGAATTGAACGGTTTAATTGGGCGGCATTTAATCCAGATAAAACTTCCATCAAACATGTTTGGGATGAGTTAGAACGACGTATCAGAAAATATAGATCCAAGAACGTCTATGAATATCTATGAGATGAGTGAGCACAAAATGTGATCCTTAATATAATTCAAAACATGCCACATCAACGGAAAATAAGTCGAAATTCGTGCAAAATGTAAATTTGTTGATTCTCCAGAATAATCCATAAATCCATTTATTACAAATTTTGTTTCTTTTTGTTAGATTAATAACTATTTCTTAAGTAACTAACCCCATAATAAATTTTTCACCTTTACAAATAACCATATTATAATTTTCCACACCACCACGATAATAACCGATTACCCACAATTCCCTTTGTTCACGTATCTCAAACACCCACTTACCTATTCCAACCACGTGCAGAACAAATGGGCCAACTTAGAATCCGCCACCTCGACACACACCATAAGGAGGAAATTCTTATGGAAATTTCCCCGGAAATGCCACGTTGTAATGACCATACCGAGTAGTATAATTGGACAGCTTCGTTGAAGTCTTTTTCATAAAACCACGAGAAATTGTTCTTGGTAATAACTATGTCACAGTTTCTTAGGTTCTTATTACGTGTACTTGTTGAGTTGCGATACCTAAATCCGGCTTCTTATTTCCTTCATATACCAACTTGTTGAAAGGTTCAAGGCGTTCCAGGCGAAGATCACGTGACTCGCGTGACTTCGTTTACTTCGTTTTTAGGGTTTATAGGTGTATCTTTGGTTTTAATCTACGAGGAATATTGACCAAATTTAACAAGGGAAGTAATTTAAGTAGAGGGTTAAGTTTTTAGATGTTAAGGTTGAAATGAAGTGATGATAAGAATCATGTTCCTTTTGTTCAAATTTATCGGTTAAATAATCAATTCGAATATGTTAACAATTTCTATTCAATTTCGAACAGCGTTCGTGCACGTTCAAGTTAGATACATTTCGAAATTAAGTTTGACGAGAACTTTGAAAGTTTTAAACGGTCCGTGGCAGTTTCAGTAAAGTGGATAATTAACGAAATTACAAAAACAAACGATTTGTAAACAAGAAAATTAAAGTTTTTGATTTATTTTGTTTGCAGTCAAGTTGTTAGTACCCAAAGAAAAGATGGAAATATACATGATACAATCGCGATTACATCTACCCGAAGCAACGACAATTAAACCGAAATCGGTGGTTTCGACGACGAAATTTCCAAACACAACGTTGGAAAAGGCGAAAAGATCCACCACGACGGCTAAACCCGTATTAATGGGGTCCTCACAAGATCCCTTTTTTGATTACGGCCCGAACGCAACTGCGAATTACAACAATTTCAGTCTTCTGTTGGAATCGAATTACACGTTATGGAACAACAGCGAGCTTTCGTTCAATTTGACGAACGATAGCTTTGTTAGCGCCGATTACGATTTTCGAACTTTCAACGTAACAACGCCGTCGCCAACAGTCGGAGGGACGTGCAAAGAATGGACACCAGCCCAACACAACCTCTTCCAAACGGCAAACTTTTTCTTTGCGTTTGCCTTTATCGTTCCTGGTAAATTCAAACAAAGCGTACTTTTAGTTCGTGCTCTTTTAACCCTTGGTTACGTCTTCCTAACCTTTTGGGCGGCCGCCGATGTTTGTTCACCGGACATTTTACTATGGAACTTGCTACTTGTGATACTAAACTTAACGCACACGGTTTTGCTAACTTGGCGATTCTTACCGCCAACACTCACGCTAGAATTAACGGAATTGTACCTCAAGGTAAATTTTTAAATTACATATATTTCTAGAGAAATACCTCAATGTTATAGGTGTTCAAACCACTTCGCGTAAGTAAGAAGCACTTTAAAGAATTGGTCAGAGAAGCTCAAGTTATCAATTTGGAGAGGGGCGACATTTATGCTGTTGAAGATGTAAGTCCTGCTGATGAAAGACTGTCTATATTATTAAAAGGAAAGTAAGTTAAATAACACCACTTTTAAATTAAATAAAATCATTTTCAATTTTTTTTGTGAATAGATTAAGAGTTACATGTGATGATACTCACCTTCATTTCATAACAACTCATCAATTTGTTGACTCGCCCGAATGGGAAGCCAATCACGATCAATCCGACGATGTTTTTCAAGTAACCATAACAGCCGAAGACGATAGTGTCTATTTATGTTGGTCTCGAATGAGATTGGAACGAATTTTGCGGCATAAACCCATGCTTAAAGTGGTTTTAGACTCGATTATTGGCAAAGATATAACTCAAAAATTATATTCTTTGAACGAACACTTAACGGGTTTGGAGGACGACCGAAAAAGAGTTCGACATGGTGAAATATGGGCTAGAGCTCACTCAAGAAGTATGTCGATGGATGCTGTTAATACAGGAACAACTGGTTTGGTTCGATCGACAAATTATAAAAGTGCTTTACGTAAATATTCCTTAAATTCCGCTCAAGGTAATTTAGTTTTTCTTGGAATTTCATATACTTCGAAATTTATGAATGTAGTAACCATAGTTACGAAACTACTATGCACTAGCACTATCCCACATAAAATGTAACATAGCTTAATAGTTCTAGGTCTTGTGTTAGTTCTAATAATAGTGCTAGTATAAAACTAGAACTAACACTAGACCTAGAACTAGAAAGTATCATATACTAGAAAGTAGTTTTACACTTGCACTCTCACTAGAAATAACACTAGACCTAGAACTAGAAACATTCGGGTTTAGCCGTCTTAAGAGACGCACGGCTAAACCCGAAACTTTCTAGTTTTAAGTGTAGTGTTAGTTCTAGTTTTACACTAGCACTGTTACTATGTAGAACTAACACTATATCTAGAACTAGAAACATTTGGATTTAGCCGGACGTCTCTAAAGACGGCTAAACCCGAATGATTCTAGTTCTAGGTATAGTGTTAGTTCTAGTTTTACACTTGCACTATCATTAAAACTAACATTAGACCTAGAACTAGAAACATTCGGGTTTAGCCGCACGTCTCTAAAGACGGCTAAAGCCGAATGATTCTAGTTCTAGGTCTATTGTGTGACGACTTATCAGCACAAAAAAAGGAACGATACAGTCGATTAGCAATTTAATAACTAACGCAGGTCCTCGACCGGCCCAGTGAAGACGGGTAGGGTTATTTATAAGGCGCCACACAGTTAACCCTGCGTTGTCCACGAACTGTGACGTGAGGTGGTAAAGTGATGCTATCGACACAAGTGGACACAAACACAAAAAAAATAACAAAACACAAAAAAAATAATAAACAGTTCGAGATATTTTAAGTTGCAAAAAAAATATTTATTCGGTAAAAAAAAATAATGATGATATACGTAAGTAATAATGTTGTTGTCCAGCAAACGTGAAGCAACACAAAAAAAAAAGAAAAGAATTGTTGGGGTACCAAAAAAAAAAATTGTAATAAATGACCAAAACAAGTACGCAAAAAGAAAATAATAAATTTGAATTGAATTACGCGTACGACCCGTACCCCTGATATCAGTGTGGCGTCGAGAAAGAAAAAAAATAAAAACTAATTCGTGAAACAAAAAAAAAGTACGCCAAAATTTTACAAAGAAAAATAAAACTTATTTTGTTTGATTTAACTGACAACAATACTGAATAATTTCAATCTATGATAATTTTATAATATAATAAAATACAGGGTGGTTCAGTTTTTAATCGGGAAACTTGACTAGGACGTAGTACTTGGCAAAATAACACAAGTTTTTTATATAAACGTAGGGTCGCAACTCGTTTGTTTTCGAGTTATGAGCTGTCAAAGTTAAGCCAAAAATTTACATTTTGTTTTGTATTTCGGCTGTAAGTAAACCGTAGAATTTGAAACTTTGTACGTATATACTACTGGTTAAGACCTTATTTTCAAGCATACCTTAAACTTCCCTAGCAGCCTCTAAGCTAAGGGGATGAAATTCACCACCCCCTTGATTTTTTTATAAGAACTTTTTAACGCTATGGAATATTAACAAAAAAATATGGGTTCTAAAGCTTATTCTTTAGTGGTATTTTTTGTCTCTTTAGTATTTTCCTTAAAGTTAATAGTTTCCGTGTAAAAAATTAATATGCCGTGCCAAGTACCGCTATATGCTGCCATGTTTAGCTAAAATTATTCTAAAAGTTGGCTCTGAAAACTTGTAAGTTTCATTTACGGTGAATCCTCATAATTATTGATGATTATTAATAATTTTTGACTGTTATTAAGCAAGAGTATCAATTTTTGAATATTGTTTAAAACAACGTAATTTGTTCAGATAGACATTCATCTTATTTATGATTTTTCTTATGAAAATCACAATTAATTGGTGTTATTTATTTAGTACTAGATCTTAGTAAGTGTACGACTTCCATAGCCAGCTATAAAGAAAAATTTTTTTTTAATAATAGCGCTTTACAGTACAATGGAGCCTATTTTATTTTTTTACGCTAAAACTATTATCTTTAAGGAAAAAACTAAAGAGACAAAAAAGTACCAATAATATAATGAATAAGCTTTACAACCCATATTTTTTTATGTTAATATTCCATGACGTTAAAAAGTTGTTATAAAAAAATCAAAGGTGTTGTGAATTTCATCCCGTTAGAGGGCGCTAGGAAAGTTTAAGGTATGGTTGAAAATAAGGTATTAGCCAGTAGTACATACACACAAATTTTTGGTTCAACTTTGACAGCTCATAGCTCGAAAACAAAAGAGTTGCGACCCTATGTTTATATAAAGAACTTGTGTTATTTTGGCAAGCGCTACGTCCTAGTAAAGTTTCCCGATTAAAAACTGAACCACCCTGTATATTTAATTAACTTATTTGATTTAAGATTTAATGAATTTAGTTTAAATTGTACTAATTAATTGAACAAAAGCTCACCGGGAAGCGGTACATAACAAAAAAAAAAAAAAACGTTTAGGTCTGACCTTGTCTTGACCTCGTGTAGACGATCCAAGCAAATTCTTCCAGCTCCAGCGACAATCTCCTCCGATTCAGGGAAAGGAAAACTTAATAGGTGGTGGCAATGCAACCTCGACCAAAATCCTCAAGGAAGAACCCCTCCGAAAAGGTAGAACTTCGAAAATGGATTGAAAATCTCACAAAATAACCAAACTTCTGTCTCGAAAATGTTACAGAAAGGTTGCCAAAATTTATGCTCTTCAATTAAAACCTTAAATGAACACGAGGAAATTAGAAAAGAGAAAAAAAAGTAGAAAGGATGGAAAAATAAGATAAAAAAAAAAGAAAAAAATGATGATAATAGTTTAGTTAATTCGGTGGTAAAAGGATGTATGTTTGAATAAATGAAGGTATGAATGTGTAAGGGAAAATATAAAATGTATTCAATAAAAATATCTTACCTCAGATCTTCGAGGTTTAGTCAGAAAACTTAGAAAAGTTTCAAAATACGGTTTAATCCGGAGTAATCCGATAATTGGACGTGCAAAAACGTTACCAATANATTTAACTTTTGTGCAATTTTTTGGTATAGATTTCAAAATTGTTCCCTCATTTTTAACCCTTTAACGGTTAGCGGCTTTTATAGAGACCACTTGTCAATAAGGTCAAATAGTTGCATTACCATAACTAAATCGTTTCTAAAAACGAAAAAATAATTTACCCGTTAAACGGTTTAACGAGTTATGACGCAATCGATATTTTTTTCAAATGGCAATCCCCCATTTTTATTACGGGATATGAAAGAAGATTTTTTTCTGAATTCAGAAAATTTTCGGGAAAAAGTTTAACTACTTCAGATTTGTTGACATGATGAAAATAGCAGTAGCCATGAGTAACAATGGTAACCAATTATTTTAAACAATTTCCTAAGTGTCAAAAACTGATTTAGTAAGTAGTTGACCTCTTTAATACAACATATCCTGATCGCCAACTCATTAGCCAAAGTATGGTGAATTTTGTATGTGACTAAATTTAAACAGCATGGCCATCTCTCCAAGTCTGGGCTACTAAATGTTGCAAGGCAAGTTCAACAAATCGTGGTTTTGGCTGGGCAAGAAAACCCTTATGTTACTGTAAGGAGTATTGGGTCTAATTTCGACATTAGTAAATCAACGGTTCATAAAATTTTAAAACCCGCAAAATATAATTCCCATAAAGTAAACCTGATTCACGAGCAATTAATCGTAGTTTTTGCAACAACAATTTTGCAACGATGACGAAGACTTTGTCAAAAACATAATTTTTTCGACGAAGGGACATTTACATTGAGTGGACAAGTAAATAGACAAAGTTGTCGGTATTGCGCTACCCAAAATCCCAACGGTAATAATAAT